CTGCTCCACCTGGAGGATGTGTACGTGGGACTGTGTCTGAGGAAGCTGGGCATCCACCCCTATCAGAACAGTGGCTTCAATCACTGGAAAATGGCCTACAGCCTGTGCAGGTACCGTCGTGTTATCACTGTCCATCAGATCTCACCGGAAGAAATGCACCGAATCTGGAACGACATGTCCAGCAAGAAACACCTCAGATGCTAGCGGCACCTGAGGACAACTCAGCTTGGACTCTTCTTAATTTTCTGACAGCATTAGTTCTCTATAGGCTACTAGTATACTACTGAATCCACTCTGTAGCTGTTGGGTGCATGAAGCTTGTAAAGCGCATGTTCTCATTCAAACACAGTAAAATAGTCTTGTTGCTAGTCATTTTATAATCTGTCTAGAATTCCAACTATAGACTTCACAAACTCATTTTGATGAACATTTACTCTCCAGTATACATTTTTGAAAGTAACATTTACAAGTGAAACCAGAGTTATTATTGAAAGAAAAAACGATTTATTTGTCAGTGTAAATCTATCTACTTTCTGCCAAGTTCTCATGCTGTTTTGGGGGATGCCGTTACCCACACCATGTCTCATCCCTCATCCCTCCTACCAATCTTATGGCTGGTCAACTACTGTACACACAATATACATACAATTTGAAATAGCAAATAATGCTGCAACAATGACAACAACAATATCTATATTCTGCAAACGTGTGAATGTTGTTGGTTATTTTCATATTTCTGCCATTTTTTAAGAAATGAATACAATTCTGCTGGATGTACGTCACCACTATTGGTAGTGATGTACACAGTGTTCAAAACTACATGTGTGGGTCAAACAGATGCTATACATTTTAATTTGACTGGGTCTTTATGTTTAAATATTGGTGCAAATGTAGGCTAACTGCCACTTCTTCTGGAAAGAAACAGAAAAAATGCTTTTTACATTTAGATGTTATTTATTTATTTTTTTACCCTATTCTTACAGTGTACTTTAAGTAATTAATGGTGTCATGCTACATGCTTCTGATAAAACTAGCTTCTATTACTTTATACTGTACATAGAGAGCTGATTAATTAACAATTCATTACCACTACCAAGTATCAACAGACATAAATATAATTTTGTCCAAGTGACAATTTACATAGTAACAACTATCTACATTCACAAATGAATGTATTAGCATGTGTATTTGGCATATCTTCACTGAAGCACTGCTATTGAAGTAATGGGAAATGATATTTTCTAGAACTTGGATGGCTGTAATGGTCCAAATGTAATTTAAGTGTTTTTTTAAGTCTAGTATTATACTGAACAAAAATATAAACGCAACATTCAACAATTTCCAAGATTTTACTGAGTTACAGTTCATATAAGGAAATCAGTCAATTTAAATAAATTCATTAGGCCCTAATCTACGGATTTCACATGACTGGGAATACAGATATGCATCTGTTGGTCACAGATCGTTTTTTTTAAAAGGTAGGGGCGTGGATCAGAAAACCAGTCAGTATCTGGTGTGACCACCATTTGCCTCATGCAGCGTGACACATCTCCTTCGCATAGAGTTGATCAGGCTGTTGACTGTGGCCTGTGGAATGTTGTCCACTCCTCTTCAATGGCTGTGCGGAGTTGCTGGATATTGGCAGGAACTGGAACACGCTGTCGTACACGTCGATCCAGAGCATCCCAAACATGCTCAATGAGTGACATATCTAGGTGAGTGTGCAGGCCATGGAAGAACCGGACATTTTCAGCTTTCAGGAATTGTGTACAGATCCTTGCGACATGTGGCCGTGCTTTATCATAATGAAACATGAGGTGATGGCGGCGGATGAATGGCACGACAATGGGCCTCAGGATCTCATCACGGTATTTCTGTGCATTCAAATTGCCATCGATAAAATGCAATTGTGTTCATTGTCTGTAGCTTATGCCTGCCCATACCATAACCCCACCGCCACCATGGGGTACTCTGTTCACATCGCTGACATCAGCAAACCGCTTGCCTACACGACACCATACACGTGGTCTGTGGTTGAGGCCGTTTGGACGTACTGCCAAATTCTCAAAAAAATTGGCCTGCAGTCAGCATGCCAATTGCACGCTCCTCAAAATGAGACATCTGTGGCATTGTGTTGTGTGACAAAACTGCACATTTTAGTGATATTTTATTGTCCCCAGCACAAGGTCCACCTGTGTAATGATCATGCTGTTTAATCAGTTTCTTGATATCCCACACCTGTCAGGTGGATGGATTATCTTGGTAAAGGATAAATGCTCACTAACAGGAATGTAAACACATTTGTGCAAAAAAATGAGAGAAATAAGCTTTTTGTGCATATGGAAACATGGGACCAACACTTTACCTTTTACGTTTATATTTTTGTTCAGTGTATAAGCTATTGTGACACTTGACTGTGAAAGTTTAAAGATCCTGAAGGGGGTTGTTGTGATATACAGTATGTTTTGTTTTTTTACATAAAAAATATACATACTTGAAAATAATAAAACCTATTCAATGCCTTGTATACTTGTTGACCCTTATCATGCATTCATGTCGATTACATTTGTTTTTGGGGTTTAGATTTGTTGAAATACAGCTACTTGTATGGATTTTCATGTTCATCAAATTCCTTTCTATTTGTCAACAAACTCGAGTACCATCCACAAATTACTTCCAGCCACAAATATATATTTTTTATAGTTCCATGTAAATGTGTGCATTTGTAATAGTTTGAATTTTCAGTGGCTCTAGCCAGTACAACTTACCTTGGGGATCTGCCAAACATCCACATGCCACATAGTGTCACTTGGCAGACTGTTCCGACAGCAGTGTATCTGCCAGATGGTGACATTGCCAAATTCTGTAACTTGTTTATAATAAATGGAGGCACTATTTGGCTGAAAGGATTCCTCACCGTTTCATTGCCTCTTCCGTATGTACTTGGGATGTGGGAGGAGTGACCTTCACAAAGTTGTCCAACCTGTTATAATTCATTTCCATTAGGAGATTGTAATGTTTTACAATCTGGACAGGATTACTTCAGTCAGTTAACTTTTAAGTAAATCAACATCTATTGCAGCTAAATGAATACAAAATCAACTCAACACAACATTAGTTTTAATAATAGCAATTAATTTTTATTTGTTGCTCCTCTGCAGAATTTTTTATTGGCCGATTACAGAAAGGGAACAAAGATAATATGCGGAAATGGTACACATACTGTACATAAAAAACAAAAACAATTTACCTATTCAAATAACGTATTTAGTACAAGTTAATATTTATTTACCACTTTAATTTAGAAAATAATTATAATTTAGAGCTACTGTACTTGTTTGGACAAACAAATGGCTCATCAACCTTTCAATAGTTGCCTTTGGGTTTCGTTTGCAGATGCATTGTTATACAGTACATTTCAGACTAATATATTTAGGAAAAAACATCTTGTAGTGCAGTAAGAAAGAGCAAGAAACTTAATTTTTCAAGATTTTGGCCTACATTTAATCAGATCAAGCATTAACCGGCGACAGCCGACACCCGCATAGCTGATGTTTTTGGCGGTGTCGTAAGTGTAGCTATGTTGGAGCTGTCAAATCGGTGAGCAGCTGCTCTTGATCATTGTCACGAAGCCACACCCATCCCACTCACGTTAGAAGTTCAGAATGAGAAAGTGTAGGCTATATAGAAATAATGACGCTCAAATTGAAAATCATTAAACGATTAATTTCTACCAGCCTAATCGAGATGTAGATGACATCTCACATTCCAGTGTTCGAAATTGTAAACGAGGCTGCATGGGTTTTCTCTTATTGCGATGCCGTATCACCAATGGCAATGTCCGCTTTAGGTATAATGCCAGGAGCCACCTCCGACACCAACAAAGCAACCGCTATGCAGATCCCGGCTAAAGCGGATCTGATTGAATAGAGCCATTTATCAATTAATTTGGCTTCCGAAAACACATAAACTGAAGCATATTACAGGATTATGGTTTGTGTTATGGTTCAAATGACCATTGTTGTCTGATAACAAAGCATACAGGTTAAATTCTCATTACAATTCATAACGTGAGTCTCCCAGGGCTAAGCATTGTTTTATCAGGTGCATATACTCTGCCCAAAATTGCATTGTAGCTTGTCCTTAGAGTATAACTATTGACTTGAGAAAATACTACCATTGAGTTGTATCACTGCTGGAATATACGGATGTATGTTTGTGAAATGGTCTTAAACCAACCAACATAAACAAGTTCTGCTTTTCGCGGTCTCACTCATTACCTACGTTCTTAGGCACAGATTAATGAACAAGGCACCTCTAGCATTTTTAAGCATCAACACTGTCATGAATAAGCAGCACATTACACACGGCAGCATTCAGGTTTCACCTTTCCTTCACTTTCACCAATAATGGGTCCCTTAAATTTGTTGGTTTACGCTCATCTATACACAGTACAGTTCATTCCTTTTAAAACATTTATAATGTTATCATGAAAATGTGCTTCTTCCATAAAATAAAGTAAATCTTACATTCTGAACAAGGACTACAACACAGAGCTATGGGAAACATTTCTTTATCTCAAATGAGTAGTCTGTGAAATGGAAGTTGAAGAAGCAAATATTTTTCACTGTGAAAACGTAACGGTGAGAAACAAATAAAAGTTTCTCATTTCAATAAATAATAGTAAGATCTTCGCTGAAAGCAGAGGTAACATAATTTAAAAAACACACAACAAGTCCTAAGCCACTTTGTTTTATCCCCAGCTATTACCACCTGAGAACATCTTTAGTTTTCTTAGCTGAATCCTGTTCCGTGCGCTGACCTAGCCTGGGGGGGGGGGGGGGGTTAGCGGAGAGGATCTGTGACAGAGCTGGGCATCGGGGCAGGGGAGAATGGAAGCAAGCAAGGGGTGTATGTGGTGCTTCTCGGTCTGTCTGTCTGTCTGTCTGCTCTGACCTGACTCCTCCATCTCACTTGCTTTGGCCATGATGAGGAGCGCATCAGCTAACACTCAGCTGGGCGAAGCCAATCAGCTTCACGTTGTCTGGGATCTCAGTGTCATCACAGCCAGAGACCTGATGGAGGAACAGATCAATAGGTGGGGGCCATAAAATCCTAACATTTGCGTACAACAACAACATTACCATAATCCAACACCCAATGAACAGCTGTACCCTAACAATTAGGATTGGTTTTGGCACTGATCCTACTTTATGTAGTAAGCCACTGTTTAACGGATTAATATTACTTTGACCTCTTCGCTCTTAAATCCTATAAACTAAGAAAACTTGAAGCACAGGAGAGATTTGTCCCCTTGTTACAGGGCCATGAAGACATGAGAGCAGAGTGGAGGAATTACAGTCCTTCAAAAGATAATTTGCCAATTAAACATTTATGGAGAGCTTTTAAAATTCTACAGTATTTCCCTACAGCCAAGGTGGTAGAACAATGTAATTCCTCCATTTAATAATAGAACATGCTTCATATCATCCGAGACGGCGTCTTAGCAGCTCTATTAATTACTACATCAAAGTATTTTTCATTACTGATGTGACTAGAACCTGTTACTAGACATCCTGTGACACAAGCAATGCAAAATGCACAAAGACAATTGTAATTTCCCTTCAGGTTTTCATTTAATCTAATAACTAATAATATTGTGATGCAACAGCTTCTACTGTGAAGGGTTGCAGTGCAATCTACAGAACTCTCCTGTGCTTTGCACTGAGAAAGATTGGATATGTTTCATGTTAAAAGCTCTATGACTATGTTGTACAGGTCTGTGTTGCATTTAAATCAGGATGATATAGCTATCCTGAGACCTGGGGAGTTTCCCTGGCAGTGAAATCTAAAAGTGTCCCAGTAGTCTCACAAACCTCCCTATCATGTTCAAGGTTTTTTTAAATAAGACATGCCGTTTGAAAAGAAAATACAAGAAACAGATAATTATTTTGTCTGCACTTGAGTCATTGGCATGGCTAACTCCACAAAAGCCCTCTCAAAACTAGAGGAGCTTTTGCTAAAATATAAGTTGTATTTTATTGAAAGTTCATTAGAGAGTGAGTGCGGCAAAATTCTAAACTAGTTATGCTCCTATGCTGACCCACAAGGAGGCCTTATTACTGGCAACATGCATTCAGATTGGTTTGAGTGCAGTCTCTGAGAGGCAATCGATATATCTTTTTCACATCGCTATCCCCCTGGATGTGGTACAGCATGAGTCAGTGCAATGTCTGCCCGCCTCCAGCAATTTAGAGTGGAGAATGGAGAAAGGTTCTGTCTCTCCCCGGATAGACTGGTGGGTCTATCCTGTGGTATAAACCCTCTTGGTAAAATGTTCTGAATTGTTCTCAGAGCGAAGATCATTATTCTCACTGTCGGCATGTGTAGTGAAACCGCAAACATAATTCAGTGTTTTTGGTCGATATTTGGAGTTGAGTGGCTGTGTGCGATTTCGTGCCGCCTGGAACTGGAGCAGTGTGTTAACTAATAGAAATGGGAAAGTGCTCTGGCCAATATATTTACCCAGCCAGGCCCCAGCCAGCAGCACAGTCTGGATGCTGCTGCTGCTAACCCCTCTGATGCAGTTCTGCACACCAGAGTGTCTCCAGCGACATTCACCAGCTGCTGATAAGACGTACATGGCAGAAAGGTCGAAGAGTGATATACTGTGACCAACCGCACAGATGTTGTTTACCTCACCCACACCTTCCAAAAGGGTGCTAAAAAATAGCCCAATATTACGGCAAATCCACTGGGATCGGCATTCATTGCTTCCTTCATTCTTCTCTGTAGAGAATTTGCATTGTTCCGCTCGGTGTCGATCAATGTAAATCACATAGTGTCGTGCTCGGAGGGAAGCATGTGCAGATTAGGAGTGTCAACCATCAGTTATTCCACTTACACGACAAAGTCAGTGCTGCGACACGCCTGTCATCACAGATTTCTCCCATTCTCTAGCACCACTGCTCATTTGGGATTTGAATGAAGTGTCAGTATCTCCAGACACCACAACCCTAAAGCATTGTCATTTAATTGGTGTAAGTGAGACATTATATTTTCTATGTATGTTGAGCGTTATGGAAGTCAATCAATCTGTGTGATGTAACGTTCTGGTTTTTGGAAGCATCCCTCTTATTTCATGTAGCTATCTTGAGACATGAGGTGGTGTGACATTTATCATCTGGGTACTCACCAGTTTAAAGGTCAACACTTTGTAGGTAGTCGGGTCATCTACAATCTTCTGCAGGTTAGCTGCAACTGAAAAGTAATGTTATATATAGAGTACGCAAGTGTTAATAGTGTTATTGCACAGTCACATCAGATTATCTATCATAGATCATATGATGAATAAATCAAGACTGTACCTCGCTGCTCTTATACCTCTCATTGACTGAGAGGGATGTGATTCTTTTGAAAATACCAGACCTAGGTCAAATACATGTAAAATATGTTTAAATACTTGAACTGCGCATGATTTAGTTTGCCCAGTAAAATAGTTCCAAATGTACAAACTCCAAGCTAAATCAAGCGCACCTCAAATACTTTCAAGTATTTGACACATGTATTTGACCTAGGTCTGGAAAATACACGCTAAGCATGTGGGTTTAAATAAGCCCTGCATTACATCAGAAAACAAGGATGAAACATTTACCGACAACAACATCGTGTCCATTGACAAGGCCAGCTGAGAATAGCTCCTGGGAAACCCCATCGGCAGTGTCTATGGAGAGAACAACATACAACATTAGAACCAGGTGAGAAGTTAACGTGACATACGGTACTACACTTCAATACAAAATACAATATCAAATGGTGCTAATAACCACATTCTAACATTAGCTTCTTCATTGTGTGCAGCTCTTACCTCGGCCAGGAGTGAACTCAAACCGGATGTCATTCAGCTCCTTCCTGGAGTTCCTGAAGAGAGAGATGGGAAGGTGATAAGTATTTAAGATGTGTTACATGTGAACATGGAACCCACCAGTCTATCCTCCATAGGAACAGACAGGGGGTCCAGGACCTGGTTAGACTCTTTGGGTTTACAACTCCATGGCATGACAACAATAGTCAGAGGAGTTGGCTACAATTCAGATCTGGGACCAGGCCAAGAGTCCCCGTGTGTTCTATTTGATTCAGACTGTCTGAAGAGTATCCTGACAAGCAGACCCCCAGGAATGGAGGAGTAGAAAGAGACAGCCTGGCTGCCACATCCACTATTAAACACTACGCGTCTCTAGGCTTAACACAATGGGCCATGTTAAGCATATTGTTTTCCTTACTAACTGCTTAAGTTAGTGTTACTATTAGCTAATGTAATATCATCCTGTTTTTATGGACAACACAGTTGGTGTAGCATTAGTACTCAAATTTGAATCCTTGCATATTAAATAGGCTGCACTGTAAAGCTCAATAAAATTGATTGTTTTGAGTTGCCATGAAAATAAACCCTCACTCTGGCCTGTGTACCAGTGGGGAACATGCATACAGGTTGGGCAAAACTAACATACACTACCAGTCAAAAGTTTGGACACACCTACTCATTCCACGGTTTTTCTTTATTTTTTACTATTTTCTACATTGTAGAATAATAGTGAAGACATCAAAACTATGAAATAACACATGGAACCATGTAATAACCAAAAAAGTGTTAAACAAATCAAAATATATTTTATATTTGTGATTCTTCAAAGTAGCCACCCTTTGCCTTGATGACAGCTTTGCACACTCTTGGCACTCTCAACCAGCTTCATGAGGTAGTCACCTGGAATGCATTTCAATTAACAGGTGTGCCTTGTTAAAAGTTAATTTGTGGAATTTATTTCCTTAATGCGTTTGAGCCAATCAGTTGTGTTTTGACAAGGTAGGGTTGGTATACAGAAGATAGCCCTATTTGGTAAAAGACCAAGTCTATATTATGGCAAGAACAGCTCAAATAAGCAAAGAAAAATGACAGTCCATTACTTTAAGACATGAAGGTCAGTCAATCCGGAAAATTTCAAGAACTTTGAAAGTTTCTTCAAGTGCAGTCGCAAAAACCATCAAGCGCTATGATGAAACTTGCTCTCATGAGGACCGCCACAGGAATGGAAGACCCAGAGTTACCTCTGCTGCAGAGGATAAGTTCATTAGAGTTAACTGCACCTCAGATTGCAGCCCAAATAAATGCTTCACAGAGTTCAAGTAACAGACACATCTCAACATCAACTGTTCAGAGGAGATTGCGTGAATCAGGCATTCATGGTCGAATTGCTGCAAAGAAACCCCTACTAAAGGACACCAATAAGAAGAAGAGACTTGCTTGGGCCAAGAAACACGAGCAATGGACATTAGACCGGTGGAAATCTGTCCTTTGGTTTGATGAGTCCAAAATGTGAGATTTTTGGTTCCAACTGCCGTGTCTTTGTGAGACGCAGAGTAGGTGAACGGATGATCTCTGCATGTGTGGTTCCCACTGTGAAGTATGGAGGAGGTTTGATGTTGTGGGGGTGCTTTGCTGGTGACACTGTTGGTGATCTATTTAGAATTCAAGGCACACTTAACTACCAGAGCATTCTGCAGCGATACGCCATCCCATCTGGTTTGCACTTAGTGGGACTATCATTTGTTTTTCAACAGGAGAATGACCCAAAACACACCTCCAGGCTGTGTAAGGGCTATTTGACCAAGAATGAGAGTGATGGAGTGCTGCATCAGATGACCTAGTCTCCACAATCACCCGACCTCAACCCAATTGAGATGGTTTGGGATGAGTTGGACCGCAGAGTGAAGGAAAAGCAAGCAACAAGTGCTCAGCATATGTGGGAACTCCTTCAAGACTGTTGGAAAAGCATTCCTCATGAAGCTGGTTGAGAGAATGCCAAGTGTGCAAAGATGTCATCAAGGCAAAAGGTAGCTACTTTGAAAAATATAAAATATATCAATGACTGATAGCTTCAAAAGGAGGGGAGCGGCTGGGCTGGCTACTGTACACAGCGTTGTGGGAGTGGGATTAATTTGAGCTGTAATTAAGATGCATAAATCACATCAATCTCTGCCCACCTGCTAGCCCCTGACCTACATTTTACAGGAGATTCTGCATGTACGGAACATGCTTCGACACCTCTGTGAGGGCTAACTTAGTTTTACGAGAGAGAGCAAGAGAGAGAGAGAGGCAGTAGGAAGAGAAGTGGGAGTGGATTTCCATCAGCTGCCTGTGTCAACTTTACTTGTCCAATTCTGCAGATTCACAGCTAGAGAGAAGTCAGGGGTGAAACTTGAGTTTAGCAGATGGATGTAGGATGACTAAGATCTCTCCAGTTCATCCACGGACAGTGGGAGAGCATGCTGTAAGTGCTTCTGCAGCCACATCTGTGTCAGCGGGCCTGAGCCCGGCGTTTCCATCTACCTACTAAGTCCTCCTCCAGAGAGATCGGCAGCAGATGCCTGGAAAGTCTCTGTCAGATTACATTGTGGGAGGTAAATAGATTGCAAAGGACAGTCGGAGCTAAGCCACACACACAGATTGAGAAACCGTTTAGGAGTTTTTGGGATTTTATGTGCTTCTTTTAAAACGTCAATCTTCCAGTCTTACTGGGAATGTTAAGATTTCACCAGGTAAAGCATGAGCTGAAATCATTTGTATAGAGAGGTGTTCTATCTACTAAAATAGATTTCCCCTGGTAGGCAATGGGCAGTCAGGCAAACACTTGACTGGCAAACACTCAGAGAGTGCCATTCAAGGAGGGGAGAATCTCTGCTATAAAACATGACAGAATGTCATCACTCCCAGGTCCCCAGAGTAACTCAGGTAATGTTTGTCTATAGAACACATTAATACTTCTGAATTGCACTCTGCCACTGAAGCTGTTTACATTGTGTCCTGTCCAGACTTATGATTGGTATGTTGGGGAAAGTTAGCTGTAAAGCTCTCTAGCACTGAGAGCGTTCACTGCAGTTCAAGGCCAAAGCCTGGTAAACAGATGGTCTATTGTGTATAGACTACACACAGGGACTGACTGTGACCAGAAATCGGCTCTGACATTTTTAACACACCGGCCCATTTCTTTCCTTAAGGCCCCCACAACTGACCTTTTTTTCCCCTCAAGGCCCCCACACCGGCCCATTTTATTAGTTGAGACCCCCATTGCTAGCCAGTTAATTATAATTCCCCCACACACACACACACAAAAAGAAAGTTGGACAGGCCCACCAGGCTAAAAATGGACCAGCCTATCTGGCATTTGCCCGAAATGTCAGATGGTCAGTCCGCCCCTGACTACAAAGGAGAACTCTAAATCCTGTTTGGCATTGACAGGGAAGTAATTTCTTAAAACACCAACAAACACAATCAATACACACATCTGGGGAGTGTTTGGAGTCAGCAGAGGGAAAGTACTTCAGAGCTCCAGCCTTGGGAAAGCCTACATGAATGGGCCCATTGTGTGAGAGGAGATAGTATTAATGTGCTGGTAATTAATTTGGGATGGATTGTGCTGGCAAAATAAAGGAGAGTAATTTGGCTTTCTCGTGGGTTTAAATTAATGAGTTTGCACACTGCAACGCACAATAATCTAAACTTTTTGTCTGAGTCTACACAAGGCAGGGTGGGCTGCGTGGGCATGATAACACCAGCCCATGGACAGACGGAATAAATGTGCCACATCTGCCTGGAGCTCTATTGGTTAATTGGCTGACTTCTATCCTCCCATGATTACATACCCTATTAATCAGCAATCAACTGCCAGTGAGGATGACACGTCAATATCTGTGCCAAAGTGCTCTTTCTTTCTTTCATGGAGCAGATCAAATGATCAATTTCTTCTGTACAAAATAAAAAATGTCAACTCCCAGGTCATTCAAACTTTTCCTGTTGTTCTTATTGTCTTTTAATTGAAGTTTCCTGATGGTTCCAAGTCCCCCAGTGTGTCTCTGAGATCCCTTCTCTGTTTCAGACATACATCAACCACTCCCAGGCATTATGGTTAGGGTTGCAAAGCTACCGGTAATTTAGTAAAGTAACCAAAATCTTCAGTAATTTGGGTAATTAAAAGAAAACCTATAGCAATCTATTTTAACTTTGATAATTTATACTTAAATAACTTAAAACATGTATTAATATATACTATTCATTTTTTATATCTGTGTCCATATTGTCCATGAGTTTCTAGTGGATAGACCATATGGTTGAAGAGAAAATAGCCTAATTAATGAAAAAAGCATCTAATCAACAATGGCATTATTTTCAATTAACTCTGCAACTCTTTCAACTATTGACTTCACAACTGCCACCAGTTTGCCGCCAAAACATTGACAACAAATACATATTGACTTAATAAATAAATAAGTGTAAAAAAAAATTGATATTATGCTGAAACCCTCATATTAAACACCAATGGTATTCACTAAGTTCATGGTTTATATTTAGGATAATGGTTTACAGCTTTGTCATTCTATGTTTAATTTTTAAATCATCTTATTTAATTATGTCATATATTTTACATTTGATAAGGCCACACATAGGGCCAGACATAATTACAGATACCTTTGATAATCTGAAGTACCCATAAAGGCCACTAGATATCTTGTGATAGATTACATAAAATTCTTGAAAGATACCAAGGTTCTGGTAGTTTACTGGTACATTTCAAAAGTTTCCAGTAATATACCCTGCCCTTGCAACCCTAATCATGGTCAACTAACCATAACATCCCATCTGAATACAATTCTCTAAAGGACCTTAATTGATGGGTTCACGCTAGCATAAATTATTTTCTAATCAACCTTAACATCCTTATCAATTTTGGGAGGAGAATTTATACTGTGGGGAAAAAAAGTATTTAGTCAGCCACCAATTGTGCAAGTTCTCCCACTTAAAAAGATGAGAGAGGCCTGTAATTTTCATCATAGGTACACGTCAACTATGACAGACAAATTGAGATTTTTTTTCTCCAGAAAATCACATTGTAGGATTTTTCATGAATTTATTTGCAAATTATGGTGGAAAATAAGTATTTGGTCACCTACAAACAAGCAAGATTTCTGGCTCTCACAGACCTGTAACTCACAGAAGGCTCCTCTGTCCTCCACTCGTTACCTGTTTTTAATGGCACCTGTTTGAACTTGTTATCAGTATAAAAGACACCTGTCTACAACCTCAAACAGTCACACTCCAAACTCCACTATGGCCAAGACCAAAGAGCTGTCAAAGGACACCAGAAACAAAATTGTAGACCTGCACCAGGCTGGGAAGACTGAATCTGCAATAGGTAAGCAGCTTGGTTTGAAGAAATCAACTGTGGGAGCAATTATTAGGAAATGGAAGACATACAAGACCACTGATAATCTCCCTCGATCTGGGGCTCCACGCAATATCTCACCCCGTGGGGTCAAAATGATCACAAGATCGGTGAGCAAAAATCCCAGAACCACACGGGGGGACCTAGTGAATGACCTGCAGAGAGCTGGGACCAAAGTAACAAAGCCTACCATTAGTAACACACTACGCCGCCAGGGACTCAAATCCTGCAGTGCCAGACGTGTCCCCCTGCTTAAGCCAGTACATGTCCAGACACGTCTGAAGTTTGCTAGAGTGCATTTGGATGATCCAGAAGAGGATTGGGAGAATGTCATATGGTCAGATGAAACCAAAATATAACTTTTTGGTAAAAACTCAACTCGTCGTGTTTGGAGGACAAATAATGCTGCGTTGCATCCAAAGAACACCATACCTACTGTGAAGCATGGGGGTGGAAACATCATGCTTTGGGGCTGTTTTTCTGCAAAGGGACCAGGACGACTGATCCGTGTAAAGGAAATAATTAATGGGGCCATGTATCGTGAGATTTTGAGTGAAAACCTCCTTCCATCAGCAAGGGCATTGAAGATGAAACGTGGCTGGGTCTTTCAGCATGACAATGATCCCAAACACACCGCCCGGGCAACAAAGGAGTGGCTTCGTAAGAAGCATTTCAAGGTCCTGGAGTGGCCTAGCCAGTCTCCAGATCTCAACCCCATAGAAAATCTTTGGAGGGAGTTGAAAGTCCGTGTTGCCCAGCGACAGCCCCAAAACATCACTGCTCTAGAGGAGATCTGCATGGAGGAATGGGCCAAAATACCAGCAACAGTGTGTGAAAACCTTGTGAAGACTTACAGAAAACGTTTGACCCGTGTCATTGCCAACAAAGGGTATATAACAAAGTATTGAGAAACTTTTGTTATTGACCAAATACTTATTTTCCACCATAATTTGCAAATAAATTCATTAAAAATCCTACAATGTGATTTTCTGGAGAGAAAAAAATCTCATTTTGTCTGTCATAGTTGACGTGTACCTATGATGAAAATTACAGGCCTCTCTCATCTTTTTAAGTGGGAGAACTTGCACAATTGGTGGCTGACTAAATACTTTTTTTCCCCACTGTATAGTGTTTGTTCTTTCAGATGCAATTATGTTTTTCCAATTAGTTTGGTATTTTTCCCAAGAGAACCCCCACCACACGATACAGCTCTTATACCACCAGAGCTCTGTTCATGGTTTTACTCTTCATGAAGGAATTGGATTAAACTATAATTACATTTTAATCTGCATCGATTTTCGTGATTACAAAACTGAAGCCTAAGAAACTTGTCAACGCAAGTCTTTTGTAAATACAACTAGATACATCTAGCTACTATTGTATGGAGGAGTATAATAACATAATATTATGATTGGTAGAACGTGGAGTGTCCCATCTGCTGATTGCAGATCAATCACCTATTAAAATATAAAGATGTAACTAGAAGAGCATCATGATTACTGTAATGCCATTGTGACTGGAAAGAGACAAAGCTGGAACTATTCAATATGGGCTTTAATAATGCTATAGGTTTCAGGTTGAATCAGGTTAGATAACTCCAACACCTTCCCCATCTGTTTTCCACAACATAAATTAGCTTTGAATGGAAATAAACTACAGTTATCTCACTTGTCCAACCATTACAGTGAGGGAAAAAAGTATTTAATCCCCTGCTGATTTTGTACGTTTGCCCACTGACAAAGACATGATCAGTCTATAATTTTAATGGTAGGTTTATTTGAACAGTGAGAGACAGAATAACAACAAAAAAATCCAGAAACAAGCATTCCAAAAATGTTATAAATTGATTTGCATTTTAATTAGGGAAATAAGTATTTGACCTCTCTGCAAAACATTACTTAGTGGGTTACAGAGGTCAGACATTTCTTGTAGTTGGCCACCAGGTTTGCACACATCTCAGGAGGGATTTTGTTCCACTCCTCTTTGCAGATCTTCTCCAAGTCATTAAGTTTGAGGCTGACGTTTGGCAACTCGAACCTTCAGCTCCCTCCACAGATTTTCTATGGGATTAAAGTCTGGAGACTGGCTAGGCCCTTAATGTGCTTCTTCTTGAGCCACTCCTTTGTTGCCTTGGCCGTGTGTTTGGGTCATTGTCATGCTGGAATACCCATCCACGACCCATTTTCAATGACTTGGCTGAGGGAAGGAGGTTCTCACCCAAGATTTGACGGTACATGGACCGTCCATCGTCCCTTTGATGCGGTGAAGTTGTCCTGTCCCCTTAGCAGAAAAACACCCCCAAAGCATAATGTTTCCACCTCTAGGTTTGACGGTGGGGATGGTGTTCTTGGGGTCATAGGCAGCATTCCTCCTCCTCCAAACACGGCGAGTTGAGTTGATGCCAAAGAGCTTGATTTTGGTCTCATCTGACCACAACACTTTCACCCAGTTCTCCTCTGAATCATTCAGATGTTCATTCGCAAACTTCAGACGGCCCTGTATATGTGCTTTCTTGAGCAGGGGGACCTTGCGGGCACTGCAGGATTTCAGTCCTTCACGGCGTAGTGTGTTACCAATTGTTTTCTTGGTGACTATGGTCCCAGCTGCCTTGAGATCATTGACAAGATCCTCCCGTGTAGTTCTGGGCTGATTCCTCACCGTTCTCATGATCATTGCAACTCCACGAGGTGAGATCTTGCATGGAGCCCCAGGTCGAGGGAGATTGACAGTTATTTTGTGTTTCTTCCATTTGCGAATAATCGCACCAACTGTTGTCACCTTCTCACCAAGCTGCTTGGTGATGGTCTTGTAGCCCATTCCAGCCTTGTGTAGGTCTACAATCTTGTCCCTAACATCCTTGGAGAGCTCTTTGGTCTTGGCCATGGTGGAGAGTTTGGAATCTGATTGATTGATTGCTTCTGTGGACAGGTGTCTTTTATACAGGTAACAAGCTGAGATTAGGAGCACTCCCTTTAAGAGTGTGCTCCTAATCTTAGCTCGTTACCTGTATAAAAGCACCTGGGAACCAGAAATCTTTCTGATTGAGAGGGGGTCAAATACTTATTTCCCTCATTAAAATGCAAATCAATTTATTACATTTTTGACATGCGTTTTTCTGTTTTTTTGTTGTTGTTATTCTGTCTCTCACTGTTCAAATAAACCTACCATTAAAATTATAGACTGATCATTTCTTTGTCAGTGGGCAAACGTACAAAATCAGCAGGGGATCAAATACTTTTTCCCCTTACTGTATGTTAACTTGCTAGTCAGCAAATAAACAATGTAAGAATTGTATGAGAACATTTCCTAAGCTTCCTGGGGATGCCCTATGAAATATTCAAAATAACATTAATTTCTGTGAATCCTTTCACCTAACATGCATCCTTAGTACCCTCAGTATGTTTTCTACAGGGACCTCCTATCCCTCTGTATTTCTTCCAATCTCCAACTCAGACTTTTATTCAGCTTAGCCTTAATCCTGTTGTCATGCTCTCACTAAAAACATGTCAACCCCTCGGTTGACAATCCAGACTTAAAGCCACGTTGCTGAATTTCTAACATCTGTTCCACCCCTCCGCTCAGACAACGAGGTCTGTCGTTCTCCGCATCTGTCCTTGAAAGTATGGTTGCATCCAAATGCCACGCTTCAAAAGTATTCTCCCTTTACTGTATCTGCTTAAGGACCTGTTTGTCACTCATATAAAGCCTGCAAGTCTGACCAGTGACCATGTCATCTCCTGATCCTCTGGGTACTGGGTACAGTATACCTCTTTAGGCAAACATATTTTTTGTCATACGAAAAGAGATGATGAGTGTAGATGATGGTGTTATAATGTAACACTGTTGTTTTACTGCACTGACTTTGGACTGTGAAGAAAATACAGTATTGCGTTAAACCAGTTTACAACATATTCAAAAGCTGTGAAATGTCACCAATGTAATTCACTCCTGTATAAAGGTATCTTCGCCCAGCGAATCAAATGTAATGTAATGCTCTTTCAAGTGCTTCCAGAACTGCTTTTACAGTTCATGGACTAAATAGGGTTATACAGAAATCTCTATGCAAATAAATCCACATCATAATTCTACATAACGTGTCAAAACCGATTGCAACAAAGCCCCATTATTGCTTTATGGGAGATTGGGAGTTGACAGGGCTAAGCTAAAGCCATTTGAGTTTTTCTGAACAAGTCCTTGAGAGGCCTGATAAATGTACTGCTCTCCTTTGGATGCTGCGTGATAGGGACTGACTGTTTCAGCACAGATCAGAGGTGTGGATCTTGTCAGTTGACTTTTTACTTAAATCTACCAAGACAGGGTTATACACTGTCTTGGCAGGATAGAACGAGGAGACTGAAAAGATTTGGCATGGGTCCTCAGATCCTCAAAAGGTTCTACGGCTGCACCATCGAGAGCATCCTGACTGGTTGCATCACTGCCTGTTATGGCAACTGCTCGGCCTAAAGAGGGTAGTGCGTACGGCCCAGTACATCACTGGAGCCAAGCTTCCTGCCATCCAGGACCTCTATACCAGGCGGTGTCAGAGGAAGGCCCTAAAAATTGTCAAAGACTCCAGCCACCCTAGTTATTGACTGTTCTCTCTGTTAACGCACGGCAAGCGGTACCGGAGCGCCAAGTCTATGTCCAAAAGGCTTCTTAACAGCTTCTACCCCCAAGCCATAAGACTCATGAACATCTAATCAAATGGCTACCCAGACTATTTGCATTTCCCCACCCTCCTATTTTATGCTGCTGCTACTCTCTGTTTATTATCTGTGCATAGTCACTTTAATAACTCTACCTACATGTACATATTACCTCAATTACCTCGACTAACCGGTGCCCCGCACATTGACTCGGTACTGGTACCCCCTGTATATAGCCTCGCTATTGATATTTTTACTGCTGCTCTTTAATTATGTTACTTTTATTTCTTATTATTTTATATTGTATTTTTTGTGATTGTTTTTGGTATTCTTTATTAAACTGCATTGATGGTTAAGGGCTGGTAAGTAAGCATTTCACTGTAAGGTCTACACCTGTTGTTATCGGCGCATGTTACAAATAACATTTGATTTGATTTGACACACATCACTGAAATCCTTTTGCTGTGGCGAGACTGCCCTCCGCGCAGAGCAGGATTGGTTTAATACATAGCACATACAGCAAGCCACTTATTAGCAAATGATACATCGCTCCTCATACACTGCCAAGGAAAGCAGGCTGAAACAGCTGCAATGAATGGAACCAAAGGCACTGAGACATAACTACAGCCCCACTGCTCACAGAACTGTCCATTTATTTACATGTCAAGGTTAGAATAATTACACTTCTCCAGTAGCCAGCCCTCCAGTTGGCCTGCTGTTGGAATGCAGTGGAGGGAATGGCTTTGTATGTTGCGCAGTGGGCCTGCAGAGGGCCCTTCAGATGCTGCCTGCTATCTCATCGACCCAGAGCCTACTCTGCTACACTGCACCCAGTACTGCATTTAGCTCTTCAGGGGGCAGGAGGCAGACTTCAAACTGTCTAGAAATACTCCATTGTCTATTACATTTACATTTATGTCATTTAGCAGACGCTCTTATCCAGATCGACTTACAAATTGGTGCATTCACCTTATAGCCAGTGGGATAACCACTTTACAATGTTTTTTTTGTTTTTTTTGGGGGGGGGTTGGGGTGGGGTAAGGGGGGGGTAGAAGGATTACTTTATCCTATCCCAGGTATTCCTTAAAGAGGTGGGGTTTCAAATGTCTCCGGAAGGTGGTGAGTGACTCCGCTGTCCTGGCGTCGTGAGGGAGCTTGTTCCATGTCTATGTCTGTGGCAGACATCTGTGTGTGTGTATGTGTATGTGTGTGTGCGTGTGTCACAGTTCTGTACATTTGCCTTGCTTATCCTGCTTTCAGACATGGTGTTTAAATCTGCTTCCATTTTGCTGCAGGGGAAGTAAAACTGATTTAAATTCAATGCAATAAATATAAACCGCCTTCCTCTTGGGAAAGGATTTGACTGCTTAGAGGAGTCTGAAGCCTAAACGACACTAGTTATCATACATGTATCATAAAAGGACAGAATATATAAAACAGTGATAAATCGGAGCCTAAATCTACTCCTAAACCTATTCCATATTGGTCAAAAGTCTTGCTACAGCCTTGAATTGGCTTTTAGCAATAGGTCTTTAACCTGGCAGCTATGTCCCAGTGGCTAAAAGTGTCTGGACTAGCTGAAATGAAGGTGAAGTCAGATCAGGTCAGTGTTGGTAAGTCTGGTGGCAGAGCAGGTCCTTAACAGCCCTCTAATTCAGTCCCTGCGAACACAGTAATGTGGAGCGGGGCCAATGGAAAGTCAATCGAGTGTAACACTCTCCTCTTCCCACACAACCTCTCAGCCAGATTAGAGAGACCAGATCCTTGTTTAAGTCAGATCATCTCTTTAGAGGGCCAAGACATCATTTGGTCATCATTAGGTCTATTAGCAGCAGGGTACATAACGAGAGATTCTCAGACCTCTGTTTGGGTGTAACGGATGTAAGGAGGATGAGGCCAAATTGAGACTGCTTACCTTAGCCTTAGAACCATATTTAGAGCACCTTGAATATAGGGCCCTGTGTTCTTCTCAAATGGTTGAACCTGTAAGTAAAGAGTGAGTCAATAAAGCCAGTAAGTACTCAATATCTCCTGGAGTATAAAAATATATAACTGTATATACACTGATTAAACTACAAAAGCAACAGAAGAATACATAAGTTATATCACACAAAAATGCATTCAATATATACAGTGTATTGTATTGATGTATTCTGACAAGATCATTAAGTTCTGTTTTTGAGGAGGCACAATCCTTTGACTAGACCTTGACTCAACAAAGTAAGAACCACAGTAGCACTTATGGCCTCCATCACTGCCAGACGCGGGGGTGAAACTCAAACAACACTGCCTCATTTCTGAAATTACAATGGCCAGTGAGAGAATGGCACAGGGCCTTTTAGATGACTAGAGGGGACTACACAGAATACGCAAACGGAGCCGACTGAGCGTAGCGCAGTGTCGCAAAGTCGTTTTTCGTCACGAAAGGGCGGCTCGCCGTAGTGCCCTCCGATATTCGACGTACTCCCGTGCCACATAAAAATTGTAACGAGCCGAATCATCCCTTCCGTAGCCATGGGGGAAGTGTTGTGTAGGCACGGGAGTACGTTGAATATGATCTATAGGCTATGCATCAGAGTAGTCTATTTTGCATTGATAAGAAAATATAATCTCAGCGGCTGTTCAAACAAAAAACCAAACAACATTGTAGCCTTATTAGAATCCACTCCCAAAATGTAATAACTAGTGATTCCAGGCTACTGGACCAAAACATGACGCCATTCTATTTTTAGCTGATATGGGAGTGTATACATTCAAGCAGCATATCAAACTAGGATAACGTTGTAGGTTACACCGGCAAGTATAAGAATATTTGTCAGGGCATATTATTTAATTATAAATCTGATTATTTCACATGAAGATGTGGGAAGCTAAAAGGCTAGCTAGCTTGCAGTGTTTAGCCAACTTGCGAGCAAGGGACAACAAGACAATATACTATTTTTTGCTTTCACAACAAATAAGAAGACAACAAGAATTCACCCAAAACATTTATTTTCTTTAGAAGTAATAACTAACGATATACAGGCTATTGTGAAATGATAGAACCTGCTGTAGCCAACTAGCTAGCCATGTGCCTTTTTCACAATGACCAAAACATGACGTTTTATTTTTAGTTGATCTTGGAAAGAATACACAAGCAGCATATCAAACTGAGATCATGTTTTAGGTTACACCGGCAAGTATAGAATATTTACTGGACATATTTTAAAAATATATAAATCTGATTGTTTCACATGGAGATGTGGGAAGCTAAAAGGCTAGCTAGCTTGCTATGTTTTTAGCCAGGCTAAACCCGCTAGCCAGGCTGCCAGCTAGCTACTAGTAGCAAGGGAAGGTGACTCTTACTTGTTTTCACAAAACGAAAAGATAAAAAGAAAATACTTTGCTATCACCACCTTGTGAACGGGAGTGGGACCAGCGAGGATATCATGTTACCAAAAGGTGTCCGCTACTCCAAAAATCCCACTCCACCCACGCGCACGCAAGTAGATCAACGGAGTGGAGCAGGACGGCCATTTACTCTTGACTTATTACTGCTGCAAGGGCCCATCCATGTGCCACATGGAGCCTGGCACATACTCACTCAAACACACTCAGTGGTGCATCAAGGTCACTGAATCATGACAAATAACGTCTGCCTCTGCTGCTGGTGATGCTGCTCCTGAAACCCTCACCTGTGGATGCTGAATGGATAGCCCTTCAATGGGAACAATGTTGGCGTTCTCCTCATCCTGTGGCACAAAACGAAAGGCATATAGTAAAGATATAACATATACTAGTCATTTTTCTGTGCTATGGAGGAACATTGTTAGCAATAACAAATCTTTGCCCAAGATTAGACATTGCTCATCTCAGTCACCAAATAGAGAAAAGTCAATACAAAACAATCAATATGTAAAACATTTTGTTGTTTTTGTTTAGGAACAATCAAATAGAGAAAGCATGTATATACGTTCACCCTTGCTAAAATCAATGAGTCCGAGAAATTGTGGCAGGTGAGACGTACTAGGTTTATTTCAGATGTAATCATTTATACACAACCTGCTCCCTGTTGAGGCAGGCAATTGGATTTTCCAATGATGCCCTTTGTAAAGTAATCAAATTATACAGGAAGAAACAGGGACAAAGTAAGTATATTAACCTTGTCAATGTGCAGGTTTACACACTTACGAAAATCAATCTTCAACCACATTCCATCTGAGGGTCTCTGATATCAAAAAGACACTAACGATGATAAACCATGTACTGCACATTTGTTTATAGAACCGAAAACAGCTAACTTACGTCTTGGTTTTCATCTTGGTTCTCCTCTCTGACCCTTCGCGACTGGAAGGCAATATCAAACACAAACACAATGATCTTCTCAGTCTTGACAAATCTAAATATGACTGGCATATGTAGAGTGCAATCACCGTAGAACCCATATCTGCAGAATAATTAGCATAATGTAGTTTACAGGAGGCAACCGAAAATTCAAAGCTGACAAAGATTGAATATCATTATCAGCATTTCATTTGTCACATCTTTGCTTTGTGTAATTATTCAGTGTAAGAGACGTTCAGGTTATGCATCTATATCAAATAACTTTTTGATCTTTGATCATGGCTGTCTTTCCCGCTCCCTCCCCAGCCCCCTACAGCCATCTTCAAACCCTTACCAACTACCTCTAGTGACATGTGACAGCTAGCTCACTGCTCTCACAGAGATCCATGCAGGATCTAGGACTGTACAAAGGCTAAAACAAAAGGAGAGTATCATGTCCTCAACATTACACTCTTCGAAAAAAGGGTTCCAAAAGGGTTCTTTGGCTGTCCCCATAGGAGAACCCTTTTGGGTTCCATGTAGAACCCTTTTGCGTTCCATGTAGAACCCTCTGTATAAAGGGTTCTACATGGAACCCAAAAGGGTTCTATCTGGAACCAAAAGGGTTCTACCTGCAACCAAAAAGGGTTCTTCAAAGGATTATCCTATGGGGACAGCCGAAGAACCCTTTAAGGTTCTAGATAGCACCTTTCTTTCTAAGAGTGTAGTTGTCCCTTTTTTCTCCAGCCCCTGTGGTCAAGTTTGGATGTGCGTCTCTTGTCATGGTCTCACCTACCCTGCCTTGATTGACAGCAGCCTTGCCCTCCTCGCTCCCCTCATCCAGCTCATCATCGCTCCACTCCCAGTCTCCGTCCTCCGTCTTGTGCAGATGGCCACTGGACCCTGGAACTCTCCTCACCTGAGCCAAACACAGCACAACTGTTAACACACACCATCAAACTGTAGGGCTGAGAGACAAAACACATTTAGTTGCATACCCCTTCTAAGGTTCTCTCACTAAGGTCAAAACCAACACAACATCAAATGTTATTCATCTGTCTTATATGAGTTTATAGGATTTTAGAAATATACACTGTTCCTATATGAGTGCAGATGAATTGATCAAACATTGCACAAACACTAGCTTGGGCTTGGATTACTCTCTGGGAGTTTTTAATGTCTACAAAACAGCTGCTATAAGCTAGCAGAGAACAAAAGAACAGAGAACACCAAAGCGAAACACAGAGAAAACAAAACACAAAAACTCCTTAAGAAGCTAACTCTGGATTAATCTAAGTGGAAGCACCCAGCATTCTAGGGCTAAGTCAAAGAACATGTACCCTTCTGATGGCATCAAGTTCTTTCTCCGAACCTGACACAGAGCCCATGCTCCTGGAATTCTGCTCTGGCTCCTTGAGCAAAACAAAAAAGCATCAGTCCACTCTGATCATCATCACCTGCACACTGTGTGTGGATGCATGTGACAGTTCAGTGGCCTGTATGTCTCTATACACACACACATACGGTACCATCAAGCTGTCTATGCCAAAGCATGTGAACAACTACATTTACTACTATATTTATGAGCATGCACACTTAGAGAAACACACAAAGGGAAAATATGGGATTAAGGTGTACATACAGGCAAATTACAAGAGCCATCTATAGATGATCTGAATCTAAACTGTATCATCTGTGTACTAGTGTGGAAAATCAGTCTCAGTATTATATCAGTATTATTTTCCAACTTTCAATTACGTAACACATCAATGACTGCTGCAGCCCACCGCCCTTGGTGTCAGCCTCTAGAAATAATCTTTGATCAATATCTCCTGCAGGCCTCCCTATGTGATCAACTAAGGAGCAGGGGTGCCCTCTTCTGGCCAATGAACAACTGCTAGAGATACAATACATGTCTTGAAAATTACTATTTTGTATTAACTCTCGTTTAATTAATACAGCTCGACTGCCCATGGTCCAATATGTACTTCTCTTTGATTGCTATATCATAGTCTTCCCAAGTGTAGAACTTCACTACTGATGTAAAAATAGGTACCCTACACAATAAGCTCCCTGCATTTCTATTGCAAAATCTACCTTTCCTTACTTCTCTGGGGAGCGACTCCAATGTTTAACAAGCCTATAGCTCATGGGATTCTTAGAGCAGAAAAAGGAGGACAGGAGAGAGACAGATAGGGCAGGAGAGGAGAGAATGAGGGAGGGGCAAGGGGAAGAGGCTGAGGGAGGAGGGCAAGAGTGGAGGGAGATTCAGGGAGGGGGCAGGGGAGGAAGGGAGGCTAAGGGAGGGGCAGGGGAGGAAGGGAGGCTAAGGGAGGGGGCAGGGGAGGAGGGAGGCTAAGGGAGGGGGCAAGGGAGGAGGGAGACTAAGGGAGGGGGCAGGGGAGAAGGGAGGCTAAGGGAGGGGGCAGGGGAGGAGGGAGGCTAAGGGAGGGGGCAGGGGAGGAGGGAGACTCAGGGAGGGGGCAGGGGAGGAGGGAGACTCAGGGAGGGGGCAGGGGAGAAGGGAGGCTAAGGGAGGGATGAAGGGAGGAAGTGAGTATGTGGGAGGGGGCAGGAGATAGACCAAGGGTTCCGGTCTAGAAGCACGGTTTTGACTTCTCCTACAGTTTTGCTTCGGTACTGCAGCATAACTGACGCCCGGCACGGAATTTCCATACACGGCCACATAGAGAAGTCAGATTAGGAAATTCCTAATAATACTCTTTAGTCATCACTTTTGTGCACAAAACATTCATTGAATTACTAAAATAATTGTCGCTGAGGCCAATTTTTTTCCTTCACTCACAGCCGAAGATATTAACATTTTATATTCATCCGATGTCTGCCATGTTTTTGGATGACACGATGATGTCGTCGCTGCTTGCCGTCACACCCTGTGTGCACTGAGTGCTAGTGCGCATGTGATGTTGGTCCGCATTCTTGATACAACTCGGATATAGACGGTCCATGAATCGGCATATGCAAATCGTGAGTAGATTATCTTGAAAACAATGGTCGGACATCTTGGACGCAGTCTCAAGTTCTTATTATACCTCAGTGAGATACAGACTGAGGGAGGGGGGCAAAGGGGAGAGAGTCTGATCTGGTCCAGGATGTGGACAGGTCACAGCGTCCTGAGATGACAATGTTTCTGCTAGGTTTCTTCTCTGTGCAGGCTGGCCTGTGTCTGCTGAGTGGATAATGTGGGTGACTCTCCATAGGTCAGAACAGCACACAAACAAACCATTCTATTATCACAGAGGCAACACAGAGGACACTACTCTTTGACTCGCACTCCTCATCTGCAATCAAGTGAGACAGACTCAACACAGCTCCATTACTGTATGTACGAGCTGTGCATTTCCAGCAGAAGACAAAACTGTGATGTGCTCGCAGGATCAGGGTTGGCTGAAGAGGGCATCATGATTACATTACAGCCTCAGAATAGAATACTAATCATTGTATTGTCATGCTACAATCAACCATAATCTCACATTAAACTATGTTCCCAAATTAACCAACCAACCCACACACACACGATCTGAATGATTGGGACTGTTGTTCTGACCAGCAACTGTCCACCCCTCCGTCTGACGACTCTGTCACGAGTCACTTCCCTCTCTATTGACATTATGCTCTGCTAAATGATTGGTTCACGCGACACCTCCACAGTCCCCCATGTCCTCCAGTCACCCATGCCATGTCAGTGAATTTCCATCCAATCTGTTCACCCTGATCTTTTTGCCTTCTAGGAATAGGAGGATGATGGTGTACCAATATCAGCCTTGCCTGCTACACTGCTGCACCCAGTTAGCTGTGACCACAAGGCAACTGAGCATGCAAATGGTGTGTTTAAGTGCACCTCTCTGTTACCTAATCACTCACATTCAATCCCATTTGTCTTTGTCTGCCACTTGCAGTGAGCGTCTGAGCGACATTACGGACCACTAATGCATGAGTTGTCAGCACATCCATTCTGCCTGACTGATATTGTTCCAGCAGTGGCCCATATTTGCAGCCACCCCCACAGAACAGTTTGAGCACAAAGTGAATGAAGTGTTGAAGAGAGAGACAGAGAGGACACTCGATGTGTGTTGACTGGGGGAGAGTGTGCTGCCAACCCCTAAAACCTTAGCATACTTTGTTCATAATGTTTAGTCAATATTGGGACTGCTTTAATGGGAATGATGTTAGTTTAGACGTTACCCTTTTGGCTCTCTGGGTTATGTTCGGTGCTCTGCATAGCAGCTTTTCAATCAGATACTCTCTGTTCTGCAAATGTAAATCACAACCCGCATTAAAAACATCAACATACCAATTCTTTAAGCCTCAAACAAATAGAACAGGTACAATTCTGGAGGTAAAATCATACCTTGGCCTTCTGGAAAAATTTACATTTCAAAAGCTCTGCTGCTGTAGGCCTAAAGAGAAACAAAAATACACGGAGCTATAAGAACACGTTCCAATTATTGGCCTGGAACTGAATGTACAATCCTACAATCTGTCTGTGTGAGAATATATCTTCTTGTGTGGGTATGGGTGAGACCACTAAACATGACAACTGTATTTCAGGACTCTCTTGTAGAAGTGGATGAAGCTCTACAGAGACTCGATCACCACCCAAGGCCATCAGAGTTACTTTATCATCAACCAGTGACAGACTCTACAGATTTACAGTGTAGGTCTAACGCAGATCACTGAATGGAAGACAAGTACAAACCTCTTGGCGGGCTCCTTCTGAAGGCACAGGGTTATTAGCTTCCTAAATGATTTCCCATATTTTTTCAGCATCTCTTTGTCCTCCACACCCGTGTCTAGGGTGGGGGGATCATTCTGTAAGGTTAGCATTAAGACCTGGGAAGAGAAAAGGAAGGGTCAAAAGCATGCATGTGGTCTCTCAGCAGTTACATAGACACAGGGTAGAAATCTGCCTTTCATGGTTCATTAGTTGAACTACAATTAGTTAAGATGTAGGCATATTCCACTCTCTGTCTGGCAACTGGGTATACAGTGATCAGGCTCACCTTCATGGGTGGGTATCGGTGGTAAGGTGCAGACCCTGTGGCCAACTCTATGGCAGTGATTCCAAAACTCCAAATGTCTGCTTTAAAGTCATAGCCTCGTACCTGTGGGCATAGCATCACTACTGTTAGTATTGTACAGTGTATGTGAACACAGCTAGTAGATGTTACTAAAACTGGCCACAATATGGTCTCACCTGTTCCATTACTTCAGGAGCCATCCAACATGGTGTGCCCACAAAGGTCTTCCGTACTTTGTTTCTGGTCATATCTCCTCCAGTGGCCAAAAAGGCACTAACTCCAAAATCTATGGGGAAATATGTATAATTCAGATTAAATGTATGGATGTAATGTTATACCTCATTAACATCTTATAGAAAGGAATATATTAATGCTATGCAGTATTTGCTAAAATATGCTCAAACTATTAGGAGTTTTCACAACTATTTCATGTTATACACCTAATACAAACTGCACACCCAAGATCTTCCGTTGCATTCATGTTAGAAAGATTTTCTTCCGAGTGTTTGTAGGCTAAATGTCATCCAACTATATGACAGAGACCGTAGGCCCCCAGTGATTTATGATGGGGGACCTGTTTGACTACCTTTATGTTAATGTTATTCAGTAAATATTATAAACTACCATGATTTCGCTAGCTTAAAAACTATATTAATCTTTGCCATTTTACAAGTCTACTCCTTCTTTTGATTGGTGAAATCTGGCGTTCTGTGTATTATGCTGATGAATTACTGAATGTGTGGAAACATCATAAAAAAGTAATATATAACTGTGGCAGTGAGCGAGCTGTGAGAACAGAATGTGACAGGTGAAGATGGGGTGAGAGAGTGACATTACTCACACACCTGCAATCTGAACTGAGCCGTCCTCTCCCAACAGGATGTTCCCAGCCTTCACATCCCTGAAGTCACACACACAGCAAAAACACCCCAGTCATGCCCAAACAGTATTTAACTAGGGCGGCAGGTAGTTTAGTGGGTAAGAGCGTTGTGCCAGTAACGAAAGGTCGCTGGTTCTAATCCCCGAGCCGACTAGGTGAAGAATTGCTCATGTAAGTCGCTCTGGATAAGAGCGTCTGCTAAATGACTAATATGTAAGTGGGGCTGCATCCATGTGTGTAAAGTAGTTTTGCAGCCTGCTGTCATTTGGAACACTGACCAAGGGGGTAATAGTGGTTTAGTTTTTTATGACCTTGACATCCAGGCAAGTTTAAAAAAACACAACCTTTGTGTGATCAAAGGGAAGTTCAAACAACACAATCCATGTCAATAAATTACATTGAAACAGAATAGTCAACACAATTTATCTAACACCATGTAACTCCTAGATTACATTTTATAGATTCATATTATGGAACTTTTATATTCAATCTTACTTTTTAAAAAAAAATATATATATATATATATATATATATGAATGTTTTAAACTCCAGGGTATCTTACCTGTGAATCTGTCCGTTTCTGTGCAGATAGTCCAGACCCTCAAGGACCTCTTTTAGTATGGTTGCAATGATGAGCTCATCAAGGACTCCATTTTTGTGCTCTCCTTTGCTAAAGGTATGCTTTATTATATCCAACATGGATCCTAAAAGGAGGAAGCAGACAGAAAAACAGAGTGCCCACAATGCCCAATGCTGATATGTCATTCCATGTCAACTATTCCATTTACTCATCCTGCCTTAAGCAAGTTTGTTACAATGTTCGATATTCATTCCAGCCATTTACATGGTGTGATAACACTTAACTTGTAATGCCACTGCACATAGGTCTACAGTAAACTCTACCAAAGGATGGACAATTGCTTGTTGACATTTGATGAGATCAATGTCACGACATATGAAAGGACTCACAATTGAGTCTATAACAGTATTTAATGTGTTATGTTATTATGGCCACTTTCAATGTTTAGTGTGGAAGTATAAAAGAGATGGCAGCTATATTTTGCTAAGATGTTGAAGGTAAAAGCTTACCTCCACTCAGAAGTTTCATGACTAACCAAAGTTCATCCTTTACCACAAATGAGGTGTAGTAGGTGACAACATTTGGATGGTTGCATTGGCTCATGGCTTGAATTTCTTTCTATTGTATGAGAGGAAAGAGGCTCACATGAGACAAAGTAAAGTCAACAACTTTTGACCACCTTTCTTATAACGAGGATTGTTCATATGTAATTTACTTCGCTAAAGATGTCAAATAAATTACTGCGAATGATTTTCCAAATATGCAAAGTAATAGTTTAGCAAATACTTAATAATGTCAACAAATACTGTAACTCTGCTTGTGGCTAATTTCTTATTCAAATGGACACTCAAGTGTAACAGCCCTACTCAGCCTCTAGTACACACACACAAGAGGAAAAGTGTGGGCCAGAGAGGGCCAGAGGCACTGTGGACACACACAATGAAAATATAGCCTTTATTTATTGTTGCTCTCACCAATAGCTCATCCATGCTGGTCTGGCATTTCTCCAGGTTTATTCTCTTTATGGCCACGCGTTCCTGTCTGGGGGTGCAGAGGGCAGCCTGCACTACGGCTGTGGCCCCACTGCCTGGAATCACAGACAAATAGAGGTGCAATTATGAAACAGGACAGGAGACAGGACAGGACAGCACAGTAACATCAAATGTGACCAAGGTGAAAAGCATATTGACACATGCAGGATCATTGTTTGTCTGTTTGGAATATTTAGTGCTTTTTGTGACATTTAAATGATAATTAATAAATGATCATTCATGTGACTGCAACAAGAGTTCAGAACACCATTGAACCAATACAGTATGTACAAACATATTTTCCAATCATACGCTAATTCCTATGCATAACAGTCAGTGTATCCAAAGACAAATTTGAGAAGAGGGGTTTAGTGTCACATTCTTATGTTGTACTAAGAATGTGACACAGTACATACCATGCCAACTGCTGGTGACAGATAAGGATAAGAGGAGATTGGACTGCTCAACAGTTGATTATAAGCACAGGACAGATGACTAACTAGCTACGGCAGCTCTTGGCTGTAGTAATGCTATCCCTTATCAGCACTGATATGGTTTTCTTTAGCTGTCAGTGTCAGCTCATCTATATGCAAAATTGATATTCATCCCTCTGGACAAAAGCCAATTAGACAGATCCAAATGTCTCCCACAGTTCCCACGTGACGAAATTCGTAAATGAGCAAGAAATCTTAAGCATTTGGGGAATTACAGTGAATAACTGCATTATAGGCCTACCAAATGAAGTCTGATGTTATCACCTGTAGAGAGAGGGTGTGGAGAGTAATGCTGACCAGCAGCAAGTGAGCTCAGTATTATAACAATGTAACCGGTCCTATAACTCCTTGATGTAACCTAATAGAAGTGCAAATAAACCTTGATGACCTAGATGTGCTGAAACAATAAACGAAACATTCCTTTCCACTGTAATGCTTTAGCTACGGATTATAGAATAAATAAATACAATATTGCTTCCTTCTCCTATAGGCTCACTAACATTTATAACGGTGCCTGGTGAGGCAAGGCAATATATTAAAATGTATAATTATTTTTGCAACTATCATAATAAAATTGACATGAGATGGCCTATAGGTCTATGGGCTATTTGTGATTTATTTTCCAGAGCATTCTCTAATCTGTGACAACTATTTTGTCTTATAAGTAGGCAAGAATGTGGCCTAACCAAATAACAATACTCATCATAATCATCATCACAATAGTAAAATGTATTTTGTTGTAAGAGTAGACCCTCTGTCTAACTTCAAAGTGGAATTGAATATCCCTGCTCTACAGAACGACACCATGCCATTCCCGTGAGGACTGCAGGTGCATGATGAAGACATTACCTGCGATTTTCATCCAGATTCTCCATCCATACATAGTTACATCTATTTCAATATAGCCTACTGGACACGTGCCATAAATGAGCATCGTTCGGCATAGAAGAAATCGACTGCATAAAAACGCATTTACATGAAATGGCATTCCTACCCATATAAATACAACTTTACCGTGACTATAAATATATCTCTATATGATTAAATAAGTGGTGTTTTCCTCTTACAAGAGCAAGCAAATTGCGGTTGTTAACATCCGCATTGCAAAGCATTACAGAGTCGCTGTTGAATATGAAAAAGCCGGTAGGCCCTCGTCGTCATTCACCACTGATAACCGCCCGAGCCATTTCCATGATAAAACATATATATAAACACTATATCATATCAAGAGGTAGCCTACTAACCTATGACTTCCTGTAACTCGTAAGACTCCCTGGTAATTGGCCAGCTCGTTGTCAGCACTGGTTGCGGATTCTGGACAGAAGCCGGAGATCCGCCTTGCTCCGCCATGATGCTGCTGCTGCTGCTACCGAGCTATTTAGCGACCTCAGACCTTCACCTCCTGACTACAGAAGTGTCAGCTGCTGCAGCGAACTACTACGGCCTGCGATTAAAACATCCAGAAAATAACCGTGCAACTTTCACCGCAACGAGAATATGTCATTTGACTTAATTTATTATAGCCTATAATAAATAATACAAAGGCCAACCTATGGGTTTTGAACCACAACCAATTGGCTAAATATGAAAATAAGTGTTGTTAAGATTTGAGCTGGCCTACTTGATTTCTCTACATTATTTGTTAAAAAGGCTGAATTAAATTATAACGCCTAATCATGTTGAAGAATGTGCACTTCAATTTGTGATAGGCCTATCAAAGTTGCTCGTTTTAGAACAATTTTCAATTCCAAAACTGAACTTTTTGTTTTTGTAATCGCCAAATCAAATAATTAATAAATCAAATAAATTGCCTATTATTTGTTAGTAACTTGATAATAACTTAATTTAAACCAATTTAGTTGTATTAAACCTACGGCATTTCGTCTTTGATAAAAGTTTAGCCTGGATGTTACATTTGTTGCAGTGTATGTTCTATTTTGTGTCAACGTAGTGATGAAGATGTGACATTGTATCCTGGATCATGAAAGTTGCTACAAAGTATCACAGTGACCACTAATCAAATATGTCCACTAGATGGCATTATTATACCTTCAATCACATACCTAAATTCGTGGTGGCCATAAAATAATGTTGGCCTTTTAAATAAATATGAATAAAATTAAAATAATTATTAAATGTAAATTAGTCTATGTATTTACACTTATCTATTAATTTATCCTATAATTACCTCGACATGGACATTATAGCTTCTCTTCTGCTATGAGTGAGCTGGTCAGTAGGTGGCATGATTTACCAAGTATTCATGATGATACAGTGCGTATGCCTGATATTTCATAAATGGGACATTTGCCTAACCAAAACGTGGTAGGAACAGTCAGGATACGAATATATTATGAGTTGGCTAGCCTATCAACAATAGCCTAACCGTATTATTCTGCATGGGATTGGAGAAAGAATGACCTAATCCACAGTCAATGGACAGCCAGCCTATTCCATAAATTAAACTAAATACCTTGCTAGTGCCATAGGCTACACCACTTGAAACCATATACCTTTAAACGTGATACCTTTGGATTGCGACTGCATGTTTGACATGTCAATGCACCAATCACTTGCGGAGGAGCAGATGCCTACTTCCCTACAATGGAAAGAGCGAGGGGGTAAATAGACTGGCGGCGCATTCACTGATCCATCACACTACAAACCTGCAAAGATCGCCTGTGAGAGACTGTTGCAACTACGCTATAGGCCATTGATATCGCATTCATTTCTGGTCAATTAGTAAGGGGGACAAAGGGTCCATAATACAAGGAAATGGCAGGTATTTTGGCATGGTTTTGGAACGAGAGATTTTGGCTCCCTCACAATGTAACCTGGGCTGACCTAAAAAACACAGATGAGGCAACCTTCCCGCAATCTGAGGATTTGTATCTGGCTTGTCCTTTAGCCTTCTGCATCTTTATGATTCGACTGGTTTTCGAAAGGTGAGTGCATTTATAAGTTATATATTGGTATAACTGAAGATAATGTTGGGTTCGTTATATTTACATGTAGCCTAAAGAAAGCCTGTTTAGCTCACACGGAATGTCTAGACAATGACTTGCACATGGTGATGCGATGTATCCAATAAGGAAGGTAACGTTGTAGTTTCTCTATATGCCTGTCTGTATTGTCACAATGCTTTTTCGATATGTGTCAGATCAGTAGACCTCATTTGAATATGAATTATTTTCCATAATGAGATACATGTCGACCTAGCATCCAAGCTGCAAGTTGCAGCTGTCAGTAGGAGTCGAGGGCATTATTCGAGTCATGCTCATCTCATTTAGCCTAGGCTTCTATTGACCTCGGAAGGGTCTGTGCTGTTTATGTCTTAATGGTGATGAGTGTGTTTAGCGTCATGTAGCCTATTTGTTGTAAGCCTGCCTATCCCAAAAGTGTTGATGCTAGCCTGGTACACCACTCAGACACATGGGATGCTCTGTGCATCATGATACTTTTTTATAAAGGCTCATGATGTGGCATATAGGTGTGCATGCGTCAGTAGACTACAGTTGAAATATATCTTACTGTAGGCTACATACATGATGTCACTGATTGGATGCATGTCATAAGGTCATCCTGCTGTCACCACCATCACCATGACACCTCACTCACCAGCCCAACACATCCAGCCCACCTCACATACTGTAAACCGTCACAATGGAAATTTGACTTTTCATTGAAATACAGTACCAGTCAAAAGTTTGGACACACCTACTCATTCAAGGGTTTTTCTATATTTTTACTATTTTCTATATTGTAGAATAATAGTGAAGAGATCAACTATGAAATAACATATGGAATCATGTAGTAACCAAAAAAGTGTTAAACAAATCAAAATATATTTTAGATTTTAGATTCTTAAAAGTAGCCACCCTTTGCCTTGATGACAGCTTTGCACACTCTTGGCATTCTCTCAACCAGCTCCACCTGGAATGCTTTTCCAACAGTCTTTAAGGAGTTCCCACATATGCTCAGCACTTGTTGGCTGCTTTTCCTTCACGCTGCGGTCCAACTCATCCCAAACCATCTCAATTGGGTTGAGGTCGGGTGATTGTGGAGGCCAGGTCATCTTATGCAGCACTCCATCACTCTCCTTCTTGGTCAAAAAGCCCTTACACAGCCTGGATGTATGTTATGGGTCATTGTCCTGTTGAAAAACAAATGATAGTCCCACTAAGCGCAAACCAGATGGGATGGGGAATCGCTGCAGAATGCTGTGGTAGCCATGCTGGTTAAGTGTGCCTTGAATTCTAAATAAATCACAGACAGTGTCACCAGCAAAGCACCATCACACCTCCTCCTCCATGCTTCATGGTGGGAACCACACATAAAGAGATCATCCGTCACCTACTCTGTGTCTCACAAAGACACGGCGGTTGGAACCAAAAATCTCAAATTTGGACTCATCAGACCGAAGGACAGATTGCCACCGGTCTTATGTCCATTGCTCGTGTTTCTTGGCCCAAGCAAGTCACTTCTTGTTATTGTTGTCCTTTAGTAGTGGTCTTCTCTGAACAGTTCTTTTTTGTGGCGGTCCTCATGAGAGCCAGTTTCATCATAGCGCTTGATGGTTTTTGCGACTGCACTTGAAGAAACTTTCGAAGTTCTTGACATTTTCTGGATTGACTGACCTTCGTATCTTAAAGTAATGATGGACTGTTGTTTCTCTTTGCTTATTTGAGCTGTTCTTGCCATAATATGGACTTGGTCTTTTACCAAATAGGGCTATCTTCTGTACACAAACCCTACCTTGTCACAACACAACTGATTGGCTCAAACGCATTAAGAATGAAAGAAATTCCACAAATTAACTTTTAACAAGGCACACCTGTTAATTGAAATGCATTACAGGTGACTACCTCATGAAGCTGGTTGAGAGAATGCTAAGATTGTGCAAAGCTATCAAAGGCAAAGGGTGGCTACTTTGAAGAATCTCAAATATAAAATAATTTTGATTTGTTTAATACTTGTTTGGTTACTATATGATTCCGTATGTGTTATTTCATAGTTTTGATGTCTTCACTATTATTCTACAATGTAGAAAATAGTAAAAAATAAAGAAAAACCCTTGAATGAGTAGGTGTGTCCAAACTTTTGACTGGTACTGTATGTGTGCTGTATAAGTCTTCATGGGACAGTTGCGGCTTGTTGTTAAATGGACATTTTTACTGATGATATGACCTATAAAATATGTAGGCCAAACAAAGGAGTGAAGACTGAGGTTCCTGCTGTGAAGAGTGTTCCAAGACCAAGATGTGTGCTTTTTAATTGTAGATTATACACACAGCTTGCTTATGCATACACAAGCCTCACATTTACTATTATTGTACAAGGGCATCTATGATACTATTTGCTAAAACATACAGTAGTACTGGATTAGTATCCATTGAATCTGCCAACAACTGCTGTTGCCCTTGTGTTGCCTCTCACTGAGCACAGTAACTCTGTCAATGGCAGCTAGGCAGCTATAATTAGAAACTATATTTATACTGAGTCAGTGTTCACAATTCACTCACGCGTTTAACACATTAGGTTTTTATAGCTAAAACTGAAACATTGTGAGGCATAACATTTCCCCTTGAAAGGTCTGTTTAGGCTGGTCCCTCAGAGATTAGATTTTCTGATTGCTGACGACTCACTTCATTTGCAGAGTAAGGACTTTTTGAAGAATAGACTACTAGACCGCTAATCTCTCTCTCTCTCTCTCTCTCTCTCTCTCCCTCTCTCTCTCTCTCTCTCTCTCTCAGCTGTCTCTCTCTCTCTCACAGCTGTCTGAACATGGACATTTCATCTTGATCTTGGCATACACTTCCAGCAGTTTAATCTTCGATAACCCTTTGTCCATTAATGTGACTGTTACTCAATCATATAACTTCATGATGCCATCTTTCATTTATACAGTTGTCAAATTGAGCCAAATTCTTACATTGTGAATTGCTGACAATGTATACAGAAATACGGATTCAGCAATTCACACATTGTACTTATAGTTGGATAAGATTTTTAAGCTTTGAGATGTATTTTTAACAACTGGTTGTCAGTATTGTCAATGTTCCTGCCACGATTGTCCCAGTTTGCCACAAATAAAATCACTTTTATGATTAACAACAATTAGATGTTTGGGTTTGAGAGGACGCTGTTGTCTCAGACACTTCAGGACACTTCAGGATGGCCAAGCTGAGGCCACTGTACCCACTGTGAGAATATTCTGACATTGTTGTGTTATTCTTTGTAGGTTTATTGCCAGACCATGTGCCTTGGGTCTCAAGATACAAGCCAATGGACCACAGAAAGCCCAGCCCAATGCCATTTTGGAGAAGGTGTTCACTGCTATCACCAAGGTAAAAGTAGTGCCTGTGTTTCCACTATGTCATATCTTTGTTTGCATATTAGTACTGATATCTTTGTTTGCATTTTAGTACTGATAACTGTAGATTAAAAGCAATCTCTTTGCAAAAGGCATTGGATTCAGTTTGAGTCCAGAAAGCAAGACCTCATGTTTGAAAATATTTGTGCCTTGTTCTATTGACGCACCATGGTTATTATTCACGCAGAAAGGAAGTGAGATTCTTTAACAAATGCTCAGATTCACATACTGAGCAATTTAGCAGACTACCTCCACACAGTGTAGACATTCTCAGAGGTGGAAACAAAGGCCCTTTAGGGCTTCTTCTTTTCAGGAGATAACATTATTTTACTACCAATAGTGCATGATGTAAGTCGCTCTGGATAAGAGCGTCTGCTAAATGACTTAAATGTAAATGTAAATGCTGATGAAACGTTCAGACACTGATTGCCTATAATCTCTGTGAATATCAAGACTGTTTTAACTTCTGGCATGTCACACCTTTCCCACAATAATGGGCAGCCTTGTTAACAGTCTGGTATCTGGATCTTGTGTTTCCTAGCATCCAGATGAGAAGAGGTTGGAGGGCCTGTCCAAACAGCTGGACTGGGATGTGCGGACCATCCAGCGCTGGTTCCGACAGCGCAGGAACCAGGAGAAGCCCAGCACGCTGACTCGCTTTTGTGAGAGCATGTAAGAGATTTCGACAGCTTCAGAATGCCACGTATTATCACTAATATAAACACGTGTGCATTTGTTCAGTGGAAACCGATTTTAGGTGTGGATACATAGACTTTCCAGTCGTTGCCTTTACTAGTTGAGCAGGCCTGTCAGAGTGGGCTCATGTCTGACACTAGTGGAGCAGGCTGGCAGGTTGGTAGTGGGAGAGGCAGCGAGGCACAGAGTGGGTCTCTGATGCCCTGGGGCTCTGCTCACTCAGGGGCTCACTGTTGAAGGGATTTGCTGCTTAGATGACTGGCGCGGTCATTATTTGATCTTCAAAGAGAAATACCAGATTCAGTTTGTCGGTGTGAAAAGTGCCATGGTTCAGCAACTGGATTCAGTTACTTTAGTGGAATAACGTCTCACAAACGTCTCACAAAAGCATAGCCTCTATGTAACTAGAGAAAATCTCTGCCAGTTTTCTCAATATTTTAAGATAAAATGTAATAGAGGAAGAGACTGTCACAACTGATGTCCCTACATTTTAAATATATGCAGTGTCGTGTCTGTAGGCAGAATGGATTGGACGGACTCAGAATGGATTGGATGCCTGATTGGTTTTTCTGTTGTCTCATTTGCTTAAAATGCAATTTTGTAAACCGACCCAGGCACACTCGTCTCAGCAGTAATCCTACTGTAATTAGTGCCTTGTATACAGCTGTTTGGGTTTGAGAGGACGCTGTTGTCTCAGACACTTGAGGATGGCCAAGCTGAGGCCACTGTTCCCTTTTTCATAATGCTAAGAAAGAGAGTCACATTTAGACTGGAGACAGTAGATCCCAAAGAAGCTACATGCAGTTATTTATTTTGCAGCCTGTTTCACCTTCTGGTCTCCAGTCCCCAGTGGGGCACGTGCTTTGTTTTCTACCACAGTGCTGGTTTTCTGAACTGTTCTGCCCCCATCCCTCCATTCCTCTGTGGTTCAATTCTATAAGGAAGAAAATAACCAAAGGCAGCAGATGATATATTCCACTGAGCCTTAAAAGACAAAACTCAGATTTGTGTTTTGTAAAATAGAAAGTCTGGAACGGACAAAAATATTTGCAATAACTTATGTATGATAAAGAAGCAAACAACATTATGTAAACTCTGTTTCTGCTGCTTTCTGCTCTATGATGACCATAGAATACCATGGAACTGTATGGTGAGTGATGACTTCAGTATCATGCTTTCATGGCTTTGATTGCAACATGGTATTTAACAGGACCATGTATTTGGTACACGGTCACCAGCAAAAGTATATTCAGCGAAAGTAGTTGTGAGTCATAGTAATTGTACATAAATAGCATTGATTCCCCAGCACTTGAAGCACACTGTTTGACAGTGTTTGACTAACCAGTTGCCAAGCAACCATCTTCTTGACCTATCACATCAGGTCAATGCATCCAGCTCATTTGTTTTTAAAATTAATCAAGCACAGAGAGCTAAATTACTTGTGGCTTGATTATTTGAATTCCGTGACCGATGGCCTTTCTTTTCATTCACATGTTTAACACCTTCTCACAATGCAACTGTTTTGATTATGCAGATTCTGCATAATCACAATTTCCCTAAAAACAATTTCCCTACAACAACACAAGGGTGTATACACTAGTTTAACACTGGTGTTAGTCGAAAAGCAGCACAAGTGTGAATTCAACCAGTGGCAGAGACCTGGGTATTCTAGACCAATGCTACAGTACGCTAGTATGCCCTGAGGCCTGCTACCCTGTCAGAGAAGTGGCCGGAGTGCCAGGGCTCTCACATCCTAGCGTCTGCATTCCAGGGTGAGTCACTGGCACTGGAGCCTGGACACCACTGCACTGCACTACCTCATGGCAGAGAGAGAGGGAGGCAGGCACGCCTAGTCCCAACCTCTGCTCTGCTCTGGGCTTACATACAGTGGCTTGCAAAAGTATTCACCCCCCTTGGCATTTTTCCTAGTTTGTTGCCTTACAACCTGGAATTAAAATTGTTTTTTTTAATCATTTGATTTACACAACATGCCTACCACTTTGAAGATGCAAAATACTTTTTATTGTGAAAAACAAGAGAAATAAGACAAAAAATCAGAACTTGAGCGTGCATAACTATTCACCCCCCCTGTAGAGCCACCTTTTGCAGCAATTACAGCTGCAAGTCTCTTTGGGTATGTCTCTATAAGCTTGGCACATCCAGCTACTGGGATTTTTGCCCATTCTTCAAGGCAAAACTGCTCCAGCTCCTTCAAGTTGGATGGGTTCCGCTGGTGTACAGCAATCTTTAAGTCATACCACAGATTCTCAATTGGATTGAGGTCAGGGCTTTGTGATTGCCACTCCAAAACCTTGACTTTGTTGTCCTTAAGCCATTTTGCCACAACTTTGGAAGTATGTTTGGGGTCATTGTCCATTTGGAAGACCCATTTGCGACCAAGCTTTAACTTCCTGACTGATGTCTTGAGGTTGCTTCAATATATCCACATAATTTTCCTTCCTCATGATGCCATCTATTTTGTGAAGTGCACCAGTCCCTCCTGCAGCAAAGCACCCCCACAGCATGATGCTGCCACCCCCGTGCTTCACGGTTGGGATGGTGTTCTTCGGCTTGCAAGCCACCCCCTTTTTCCTCCAAACATAACGATGGTCAATATGGCCAAACAGTTCTATTTTTGTTTAATCAGACCAGAGGACATTTCTCCAAAAGGTACAATCTTTGTCCCCATGTGCAGTTGCAAACCGTAGTCTGGCTTTTCTATGGCGGTTTTGGAGCAGTGGCTTCTTCCTTGCTGAGTGGCCTTTCAGGTTATATCGACATAGGACTCGTTTTACTGTGGATATAGATACTTTTGTACCTGTTTCCTCCAGCATCTTCACAAGGTCCTTTGCTGTTGTTCTGGGATTGATTTGCACTTTTCGCACCAGTGTACGTTCATCTCTAGGAGACAGAACAAGTCTCCTTCCTGAGCGGTATGAGCGGTATGACGGCTGCATGGTCCCATGGTGTTTATACTTGCATACTATTGTTTGTACAGTTGAACGTGGAAATTGCTCCCAAGGATGAACCAGACTTGTGGAGGTCTACAATTATTTTTCTGAGGTCTTGGCTGATTTGTTTTGATTTTCCCATGATGTCAAGCAAAGAGGCACTGAGTTTGAAGGTAGGCCTTAAAATATATCCACAGGTACACCTCCAATTGACTCAAATGATGTCAATTAGCCTATCAGAAGCTTCTAAAGCCATGACATCCTTTTCTGGAATTTTCCAAGCTGTTTAAAGGCACAGTCAACTTAGTGTATGTAAATTTCTGACCCACTGGAATTGTGATACAGTGAAATAATCTGTCTCTAAACAATTGTTGGAAAAATTACTTCTGTCATGCACAAGTAGATGTCCTAACCGACTTGCCAAAACTATAGTTTGTTAACAAGAAATTTGTGGAGTAGTTGAAAAACCAGTTTTAATGACTCCAACCTAAGTGTATGTAAACTTCTGACTTCAACTGTGTGTATATACAGTGGGGAGAACAAGTATTTGATACACTGCCGATTTTGCAGGTTTTCCTACTTACAAAGCATGTCGAGGTCTGTAATTTTTATCATAGGTACACTTCCACTGTGAGAGACGGAATCTAAAACAAAAATCCAGAAAGTCACATTGTATGATTTTTAAGTAATTAATTTGCATTTTATTGCATAACATAAGTATTTGATCACCTACCAACCAGTAAGAATTCCGGCTCTCACAGACCTGTTAGTTTTTCTTTAAGAAGCCCTCCTGTTCTCCACTCATTACCTGTATTAACTGCACCTGTTTGAACTCGTTACCTGTATAAAAGACACCTGTCCACACACTCAATCAAACAGACTCCAACCTCTCCACAATGGCCAAGACCAGAGAGCTGTGTAAGGACATCAGGGATAAAATTGTAGACCTGCATAAGGCTGGGATGGGCTACAGGACAATAGGCAAGCAGCTTGGTGAGAAGGCAACAACTGTTGGCGTAATTATTAGAAAATGGAAGAAGTTCAAGATGACGGTCAATCACCCTCGGTCTGGGGCTCCATGCAAGATCTCACCTCGTGGGGTATCAATGATCATGAGGAAGGTGAGGGATCAGCCCAGAACTACACGGCAGGACCTGGTCAATGACCTGAAGAGAGCTGGGACCACAGTCTCAAAGAAAACCATTAGTAACACACTACGCTGTCATGGATTAAAATCCTGCAGCACACGCAAGGTCCCCCTGCTCAAGCCAGCACATGTCCAGGCCCATCTGAAGTTTGCCAATGACCATCTGGATGATCCACAGGAGGAATGGGAGAAGGTCATGTGGTCTGATGAGACAAAAATAGAGCTTTTTGGTCTAAACTCCACTCGCCGTGTTTGGAGGAAGAAGAAGGATGAGTACAACCCCAAGAACACCATCCCAACCGTGAAGCATGGAGGTGGAAACATCATTCTTTGGGGATGCTTTTCTGCAAAGGGGACAGGACGACTGTACCCTATTGAGGGGAGGATGGATGGGGCCATGTATCGCGAGATCCTGGCCAACAACCTCCTTCCCTCAGTAAGAGCATTGAAGATGGGTCGTGGCTGGGTCTTCCAGCATGACAACGACCCGAAACACACAGCCAGGGCAACTAAGGAGTGGCTCCGTAAGAAGCATCTAAAGGTCCTGGAGTGGCCTAGCCAGTCTCCAGACCTGAACCCAATAGAAAATCTTTGGAGGGAGCTGAAAGTCCGTATTGCCCAGCGACAGACCCGAAACCTGAAGGATCTGGAGGTCTGTATGGAGGAGTGGGCCAAAATCCCTGCTGCAGTGTGTGAAAACCTGGTCAAGACCTACAGGAAACGTATGATCTCTGTAATTGCAAACAAAGGTTTCTTTACCAAATATTAAGTTCTGCTTTTCTGATGTATCAAATACTTATGTCATGCAATAAAATGCAAATTAATTACTTAAAAATCCTACAATGTGAAATTACAGACCTCTACATGCTTTGTAAG